ACCTGAACACGATGTGATCAATCTGAGTCCAGGCTTAAATGCCGAGGGAGGATGCGAGGTAGCATATCGGTGGTGAATGCGCCGATAGTTAGTGTTAGCCAGAAACAGGGTGCAGTTTGTACAAAGTTTCTATAGACGGTCGCCATTATCTGACGTGCGACCGACAAATCCCCATCGGTATTCCAGACGACTTTACTGTGCCTACAGTACCAACCTGTGCATTCAAGTCTCTGGCTAGTACTGTGATATCTGTTGAAAGAAGTTCCGGAGAAGACCACTCAACTGGTGGTAGAACTCATCTTTTATTGCATCCAGGTTGCAATCTATCGTAGCGTAGGCGGAGAAAACGACAAGTCAACGCTTCTCATATCGGTTTCCTTTTTCTCTGATGGGGCTTTCTAATCCAACAGCACATAATCGACTGTTAATGAGGATCCAGTTAATTTGTGCTCCCAAGGCTTAAGCGTTTAGTGCAATATTAACGCCAACAAGAGCAGATAAAGACAACACAGGCGACTCGGATAGAGGCACGAGAAACAAGCTCTTTTAAAGCGATAGATGGGGGCGAGTGTGCAGTACGTTACTAGTCTTGAACACGGGTCTCAAATAACCAAGAGATATCGATGTTCACACTTGCTAAAGACATACCCAACTCTGTCTATTGTCAGATTTGCATTAGTGTGCGGACATCTAAGGAGGTTAGCTTGGATGGCACAAGTAGTCCCAAGGCCGGTTCAGAATTCGCATTCGGTGATGGCATTCAAATTTTCATCAATCAGTGACTTCAGATCGTCTAAATAAAACGAGATTTTCACCATAGGCGAGTTGCCGAGTATGGAATGCCCAAAATAGGAATAGTCAGTCAGATGCAACGTAGAACTTCGTACGTAAGTACATCAGTTCATGTTGCCATACCAAATCAGAACAGAGATGTAATTGTCAATTCAAATCCAATAGTAGAAGAGGTAGTAAAGGTATTAGAAGTAATTGGAGAGGTTAGGATTAGAATATATTATTCAAGAATTATGATTCAGTGAGGAACGTTTCGAAAGTCAAAACTAGAGGTGTTGAAGAATCCAGAAGATTAGGATTTGAGAGAACACAAAGAATAAATGCACCGGCCCCATTGCGAACGATTTTGAGCCATGTCATTCAGGGTCTCTAACCATCGATTATTATCATCTCGCGGACCCCGACCAGGTAGCCTACATCTACCGATATGGCTAAGTCCACTCGTCAATGACTTCATGCATTTATTCCATGTTTTGGTCTGGCCGCCCCTAGCTTTCTTCCAACCTATTCCTACACTACAAAACAAAGATCGACGAGGCAGTCGGTGGTTAGACATACGCAGCGCCTGTCCCAACCACCTCAAATGTAGTTTCATTACTTCATCTATTGATCTGCCATTCTTGCCTAGCACCCGATTCCTAATAACAGCGTTGCTCACTCAGGTGTCCCACGATATACGAGCGATGAATCGAAGACACCTATGGTCGAAAACCAGCAGCCTACGAATATCTTCTACTCTCACTGGCCATGTTTCACATCCATAAAGTAAGACGGAGAGAACCACTGCACAGTACACTCGTCCTTTAGTCAGCGAACGGATATCTCACCTACGCCATAAGTGACGCAGGTTGGCAAAGGCCAATCGAGCCTTCTGTATCTGAGCTGAGATTTCGTCAGTCACCAGGCCATCGGCACTGATGAGACTCCTAAGATAAGTGAAGCGGTCTACACGCTCGACTACTTCACTCCTTATCACTAGTTCAGGTGCCGATTCAACCCAGTCTTGTAGCAACATTTTGCATTTCGAGGGGGAAAACCGCATCCCGAACATGCTTGCATTGTTGCTTAGGGTAGTCAGAAGACTCTGCATTTCGTCAGCGTCTTCACCAAGTAGGACTATGTCATCGTCATATTCTAAGTCAACCAGTGAATCTCCTGATAGAAGCGAGCCACCTGGTAAAAGGTCTACTCCTGAAAATTCAGACGAGGATAAGTTTATATCTAGGAGCATGTCTATGATAAAATTAAACAAGAATTTGGAGAGTGTATATCCCTGACGGACACCACTTGAAGTGAAGAATTCCGGTGATAGTTCGCCATAAGCTCTCACTCGACCAGTGGTGTTCGAGTAGAGAGCTTGTATAAGGTTAATGTACTTCTTTGGTACACCTTTCAATGACAGCCACCTCCACAGAACCTCACAATCCACAGAGTCAAATGTCGCCTTAAGGTCCAGGAAAACAACTATTGTAGGACGCCTAAATGTGTGTCTGTGTTCCAGGACCTGTCGTAGTGTGAGAATGTGGTTTATAAAACCACGTCCAGGTCGAAAACCAGATTGGTTTTCTCGAGTCTGCTCTTCACGATCTTTTGTTAAGCGTCGAACTATTATTGAGGCCAATATTTTAGATACTATATTAGTTAGACTGATTCCCCTGTGATTGTCACATGAAGACATTTGTCCTTTCTTATAGATTGGGACAATCAGTGATTGAGACCAGTCGGATGGGATTACGTCCAGTTCCCAGATTCTACCTAAGATCTCACTCAAGCTAGCTGATAAAACTGGACCATCATCCTTAAATATCTCAGGGGTCAGTCTATCAGGAACCGCAGCTCGCCCTCGCTTCAGATTTCCTAATGTTCTTTCAACTTCATTAAGACTAGGGGGACTTACGTCGATTTGCCATTCAGGATGACTGGAGATCGTGGGTAACCGAAGAGTGGCTCGAGGCCAGTTAAACTGATCCCTAAAGTGTTCTGCCCATCGGTCCAGTCTCCTGGATTGAGAATGGATAATAAGACAATCTTTTTCCGAGATAGTCTTACTCACATTTGGGTTCCTAATACCAATTTCCTTGATAAGTCGGAAAAGTTGTCTACTGTTGCCGATCGCCGCTGCCTTTTCCATCGCTTTTGCTTTCGCCACCCACCACTGTTCACGGTCGTTGCGCAGGCTTTTTATCAGCCTGTGACTAATCTGACTTCGTTCTTCATCATGTTCAGAGCCAGGTTGGATGAGTTTTCGGGCATCCATCAGATCGGTAGATGCTACTGAGATCCACGGCTTCATCCTAGCCTTATGGTCAACCTTACTAGCAGATATCACTGCTGTTTCCACAGCCGTTTTGATATCATTCCAGCCTGCCTCCGGATGGGGATCGCTTAAATGGTCGCCTGTCTTTCTAGTTGTTCCTGAAATATATTCTTTGCCTTATTATCATTAGGAATAAAGGAGTGGCGTAATATTAAATAAAACGATAAAACCAAATGATTATGAGCATAACTTCTGAGTGATAGATGAAGCGAGTATAATATCTCCCAGTCATCATTTATCTTGCGAGGTCCATGATACTGCCAGGGTGCCCAAACCGAAGCAAGAGGTCCTCTTGGTGAGCCACTCCCAGAGCCTTTGACTAAGAAGCCTGGTCCACAAGGCAGTGGAGCAACGTCAAAAGTTGAGAACCAATAATAGCCTCGGATCAACAATACACAATTTGTTCTATTACGATCCTGGAGCCCATATGCATTAATAGTTTGAATGGGGGTTCCTCAACCTTCCTAGGTGAATCCTCTATGCCCATCAATGCAGTTAAAGTGCCAAAATTTTTAAATAACTCGCTACTAGGAACGCATCCATTAGGTCGTTATAAGATTTACACAAAACATGCTCCAAAGAATTCAAAATACAAACAAAACAAGTCCGTCAGTGTATATACGCCTTTTTACTCTGAAGGTAAATGAAATATCCTCCTGTATTATTATCACGATCGTATTGGCATAAGGAAATCAAAAACCATAAATCTCCCATGGTTTTACAGTTATTAGCATCAGGTATCTCAAAATAAACCACAAATTGATTTCAATACAAATGGTTTGAGGAATCATCTTTAAGTCGATCAATCAGAAAATCTTTACTGGCAGAAAACTAGGTATTAAAGAATTAGTGAATTTTCAGTGGTGCTTTATCTTACTGCTCAATGATCTTTCGACTAATGTATAATTATTGAGTTAGATTTTACAAAAGGGCACTAGGATATAAATATCTATAAGCCTATTTTAGTTTGGAACCTCTAGGCAGCTCTTTCATACCCAACAATCCAGCTAAAGCTCCGAATATTCGTTTCCGTTCTATCAATTTCCATAACAGCAACCATGTCCCGAAAAAACAGAGTAGGACTACCTTGGAAGTGGCTACATAGGCATGCCCTTATGAGAACATTCTCAGAGGGACAGTGGACTAAGGCATTCGAGAGCGCAATTTAGTGTTTTGTCAGCAACAGTGAGAAGAAATAAAATAACCCAATATAAACCATTTGCGTTAATGCAGAGATGCATGAATAGCTTCTGCAGTGAGGAGTGACTTAAACTGCATGAATGCACAGTGACTAGCTTATCTTAAAGAAGCAAGCCATAATCGAACCTAATTGGAATCTGTTGTTTATCCGTGTGCTTCTAATCTACTTACTCTGATAAGAAAAAACCCGTGGTGGTTATTTGCGATATTAGAGGTGTGTAAAAGCTATGTTCAAAGTGACAAACATTGCTTATGTACCAATGATGGAAATGGAATACAGAGATCTCTTACCTTTTGGAAACGCTTATGTAATTACAGTGAAAGTAATCGAAAACAGTCTCGACTTATGAATATGCTTGCAATCAATACGTTCACGTTGAGTGTGGGAGTAGTAAGAAAGCATCCTTTGTGCAAGCATACAACTAAAATGATGTGCTGCGACGGCAGATCTAACGGAACGTAAACTTGAACTGATGTACGTATGTACGAATTTCTACGTTGTACCTGATTGACTGAGACAAAACTACAAAACAGTGACTACTGATGCACACTGTATCTGAAATAAGGCAAATTTGGAAGGTCATGTCATTACTAAGGCATTGGACTGAATGTACTATAGTTAGCTTTTGTGAATGATAAAGAACTCGTAATCAACTAGTATATCCCCAAAATTGGGATTTTAGAGACTCACCGATACGGAACTTCACCTCCATTTAATAACTTTAAAGCATTGTAGTAAAGAGGCCTTTGAACGTTGAACTGCATCAAAAGTTCTAGCTCAGTTAAGTCTAGTTGTTCAGAAGCAGAGAAAAAAGAGGAAGTATCTTCTTGGGAAGTTGCTGAAGACTCCAGTGATTCTTGAGGATAACTATCATCATAAACCAACTGTTGCTTATACTGTTCACGCAAACGATATGCATGTTCCAAAAGAATACGCAGGTCATTGATCAAATGTTCTGAGTTTGATGATGAAGTTGATAATCCCTTATCATCAAGAATTTTAACTTTAGACATAAGGGACTCAAGATGTTCCACAACACCTGCTAGAGCATGAAGACCTAATTTCCTATAATCTACGCCAAAAAACGAGCTATCCATTTCTGGGTCATAAGTCGTAAAAGGAAGTGCAGATTTCCCTGTATCCACAGTCAGGCGTTTCTCGCTGAGATTTGAAGTTCTAGAGAAAACGGATCTTGCACTTCGATTACTTGAAACCTTTGTCTGAGAGCAATAGTCTTCAACCCGCATATCATATGTATCGACATCAGCCAAATCACGAACAACCTCCGAATTAATTATGGCTTCCGAAGGACGCCTTGATACTAACCAATAGTATAAAACACTGATGACTGCACCACCAACAGAAGCAGTTAAAAGTAGAGACTTCAGGCCTTTCCGTGAAACGAAGCATTTTAACACTGGACACTGTCCTATGTGTTGCAAGTAGGTTAGTACACTTTCCTTTTTCATGAGATTGTATCACGTGGTAGGAACGTTTGAGATGCATTTAACCAAGAAAGAATGCTACATCAATCATAATGTGGCTTATCTACACATGATGAACTCAGTTCAAACAAGCCACTTAACCTTCAAGTCCAATCACTATTAAACATTTCCAATATCCAATAAATTTTTCACAAGCTTAAATAAACCAGTTGACTTCTTTGAGCACTATTTTTGTTTTTTAAGTGCGTTGACGAGATTCTATAAATTTATCGATCGCATGGTGCCTAATTCCCTACATCAGGTACTGATTCCAAATTTTTGGTTGCAGATGGGAATCTAGATCCAATATCCAATATCTTTTTCACGAGCTAGTGTAAACCAATTTGATTTCTTCGCGCTCGATTCTTGTTCTTTCGGTACGGTTCCAGGTGTTCGGCAATTTCCAATGGATGGAGTTATAGCCTTACGACTGTCTAATTCTAGTCAGTTGGCAGTTGGTTGTGAGTTTGTATGTCTCGGGATTTGAATGAAACGTTTGTTTCAGGGCAGTAGGGTTTCTGGATACTGGCAGCCGTCACACTACCGAACCGTAGATCCGTTAGTTGCAATATGGAGAGTAATAAGGGTAATAAGGATAAATTAAAATGATTATATGAGTAAAATTTCAGAACTGAGTAATATATAGATGAATTTAGTTTATTAATTGGTAGTGAAGATTGTGAGAGAGGACCGAAGTGTAAGCAAGGGAGAGGAGTAGGCGAGATAGATTAATTGAGTGATCTGAGGAGATGGCAATGGTAACAACTAGCAGGTCTCAAGATATGCACAGCTTGTCCAAGAGGGAGATGATAGTCCGTATGTGGGTAAGTGATTACCAAGTTTCTTCCTAAAGCAGTCCACTGAGAGGGCTGTAACTACCTCGGCTGGGAGAGCATTCCAAGTTGCGACGACTCGCAATGAGAAAAAGTGTGCACGAATCTGAGTATTTGCTCTTTGATGTGCAATCTTTCGAGGATAGCCTCGAGGGGAGTGGTGGTGATGCATCGGTAAGATGCTCACATTGGGATGGTTTGGCGTGTTTAATATGGTGTACGCCATAATCAGGTCACCTCTGATTCTCCTGTAGCTCAGTGGGAATAATCCCAAGAGCTGGAGTCTATCGTCGTAGGGTTTATTTTTCAACCCTATCACCCATTTGGTTGCTCGTCTCTGCACTCGATCCAAGAGATTAATGTCTCTTTTAAGCAGAGGGGGTGCGATGGCGTTGTGAACCTCCAAGTGTGGGCGCGCGTACGTCTTAAACAGGGTTAAAAATAATTTCGGGGTGATAGCACCAAGCTGTCTTCTAACTAGTACGATTTTCGTTTCTCGGTTTTATTGGTTTCCTACTTACTTGGTCGCTAGTCCGATCAAGACATGCCTTTGATTCACAGGGTTTAGTTTTGTTTTGAGAATAACTTATAGGATAATTCAAATGAAAAGCGTGGTCGTTCAAACGTTCAAACCAATCAACCGATAGTAAGCTCCACTCTATTCAGTAACAATTCTTTGAAGCTCTTGCTGAATTTATGAATTTATGAATTTATGCTTTAGTAAAGATGTTATATTCATTAAATTCTTACGTCCGATAGCTCAGTTTGCATTTAGTAATAACTAGATACTACTCCAGGACTCTGATACTGAAGGTTAGTTACAAGAGCAGCTTGTTACAATCTTTAAACATTCAGGACTGACTAAACATGTGGAAGGCGTAAGGAAATGATACGAGAGCAGTAAACTCACAAACTTGAATTATTTGCTAACAAACGATCAGCCTCTAGTTGAAGATATCCAAGTCAGCCCACCAATATGCAGTAGTAACTATGACGTACTCTTACTTGACATGGTGACAAAAAATAATGTGGAGGTTCGAGAATGCTCCTCATCTTTCCTACACTAGGTTTAATTACATGACCATGACAAAGCATCTTCTGAAGATTCCATGAGCGATGGAAGCTAATAGGAGATGATCACCGAGGGATAGAGCGAAACATCTTTCAGAATGCTATCCTACATAGTTTCCCTTTAAAAAAGCACAAACTTACGAAAAGAAAAGATCGTGAGTTCACCGAGGCACGGAGCGTTTACTGCAGGTAAATGGGGGGCCCAATACAGGCGACGAAGTCTCTCTAATGGGTACTGACCGTAGCTCTTACTCATTGAAAAATATACAGAGCCAAAGTTCCGAGCGATTTGAGATACTTCCAGACGAATATGCGAGTCAAAATACAACCAAACCCTAGTTATGGTTGCAGACTCATGACAAAAAGGAAACCTATGAATCAGCGTATCTGAGCTGATAAAGAACGGTATAGTGAAGATCTCACTAACCTAATTCCAATATACTTAAGCAACTAAAACAAGAACTTACAAGTACAGAACATTTCTCACCATTGATCCCAACTATTAGCATATTGTATATCCAGGTAACCTGACTAGTACCAACAAAAATTTATATTGTGTTTCAATCAATACTGAGTAAACCGAAGGACAAAACTACAAAAGAAAAAATACTAATATCATCTACAAAACAAACAGCTCGGACTGTGAAAAACACTACATAAAACAAGGCGGACACCCTCTCCAGCTTCGTTTGTGTGAACATCAGTTAGCAGTCAAACGCCATTAAATTTCTTCACTTCTATCAATACACATACATTCCGTTGGAAAACGCTGAGATACTGGATAGGAGAAATACAAATAAAAGAACGAACTTGTAGAATTTCAGCACTCAGATCAATCAGTAATTAACAAACGCATCGATATTGATCCAAATTATCAACCACTCAGAAAAATCGTCGACAAACATAGTATCAAGAAGCAGATAAAACTGCGACATAATCAAAACAAAGGTGCAGAAAACGAAAGGTTTAAGGTAAGTAACAACCAGTCAAGATCGAGGTCAGCATACAAGCTGTCAGTCATACTTTGAAAAATCCGAATGTTTCACTTCTGCATGAAGTTTGTGCTGATGATGTTGTTCAGTGGAACAATGGAAGCTCCACAACCAAAACGTTTGGCTCAGAAAATAAAACTCCAACACGATATTGTAATTACGTATGACATTTGAAGTTAAGTTACCAAAATCCAGTAAATCTAGTATCTTTAGCACAAACTAGTCTAAAATTATCGATTTCTTTGCTCTAGCTTTATGTAGTTATGGTTATGTCAGATAGGTGGTAGTCCAGTCACTCGACTGAATGAAATCACATCAGTTCAGTATTTATTTAAGAATAAGTTTTTTAGGCCATGTTATTGCACTTTTATCAGGAGAGTAAGCTGTCACAATATAGGCAGGAAATTAAGAACCTGTGTTTGGGAGTCTACTTGGCTTTCGTCATTTTTCGGTTTATCTACCATTTTCAAACGCTGCTGTAGTTATAATATATATATATATATATGAATGCATCGATATATGTTACACAACAGTAATGGTAAGACAACTGGATAGAAAAATGACAGACTCATTGAATTCGATGCGTGTTCCTAGTCGTCGCTCACTAATTACTATGAATTGAAATAAATATACACGTTCGCGGGATTACTAAGTGTGATGCTTGAATTAACTAGTGACTTCTTGTTGTTGTTGAATGCTTGATTTAGAATTCTAAATACAGTACATTCGTTTGTACTCATCCCGTAGTTCTTGATTTACATACTTCTAATCGTCATTCTGGCGTCGCGATGGAGCTTGTAATGGAACAGTTAGATATTCATTCTACTTCTGAAGCTTTTGAAGATTATTTGGAAAGGTTTGAAATCTGGAGTATGACCAGGAAAGATGTCAAAGGTGATAAAATTGTGGCTCATTTCCTGACAGCGTCCAGCCTATTAAAATCTTTGGCATATCCAGAAAAACCTATTTCACTTCCCTATGCAATGCTTAAGGATTTATTATTAAATCATGGTTTTGAATGCCATGAAAGGGCGAAATTTCATAAGATGATTCGTCAAAATGACCAAAATGTTAAGGAATTCATTCTTGAATTGCAGAAACAAGCTGTCGAATGTAATTTTGGTGATCAACTTCATTTGCAGCTGAGAGACCGATTAATTGCAGGAATTAACATACCTAGTTCGGAACGAGAGCTGTTAAGAATGTCAAACTGTTCCTTTCAAGATGTTAGAACTGCGTGCATGAACTTGATATACAGTCGATGAAGATTTCCAATATTTGATTAGTTGTCTTGATGAAAAACAATCTCAAGGTCAATCAAAATTGTGTTCGTTTAACAGAGGTTCCTATTCTCGTGTAAATATGAACGGTGTTTCAATAAAGAAGTAAAAAGGAAATCAGAAAGGTGAGACCAAGTTTGGCAAATGTTTATTATGTGGAAAACTTCATTCTCGTCATTCATGTGCATTTCGTAATGCTAAATGTTTTAGATGTGGTAAGATAGCACACATTCAACTAGTATGCAAAGCTACTGTTCATTTTGCCTCAGGTAGTACTTAAGCTTTTAATTTAGTTCCCAATAATTTAGCTGATACTAATGATCATTTATCTTTGACTACCATTTCGAAAGGTAATGCTCATATTCAAAAGCGACTATATACATCGCTTGGTTCATGTCATGACTTTATTATGGACACAGGCAGTTTAGAGTCCATTTTTCATTCAAGAACTTGAAATCGTTAGATCCTAACGTTGTGGTTCGACCCACTGAAGTATCATTATTGGGGATTACTGGACACAGACTGCCTATACGAGGATGTTGTGAATTGCTAATAAGAGATGATAATCCCTCATACATACCTTGTGAATTCTTAGTTAGTGAAACAGGACTGTCAATACTGGGTTTAAAGAATTTGAAAAGGCTTAAAGTGGATTTGTCTTTCCTAGTTTCTAGAGAAAATTCTGATGCTTTACTTAAAGATTTGATAGCCACGTGTGCTAAGTGCAGTGGAGGTATGAAAATCCAGCCTGTAAAACTTCAAGTACAGCGTGATCCAGTCTTTCTCAAAAGACGAATAACTCCTTATGG